GGTTCTGAAAATATAATCTCTGTCAGTGGTGAAATACTGTGGTGACTGGGACAGCTTTATTTAATTTTATTTTATTTTTTTGCAATTTCTTAAACTCTGCAAAATGTGGAAATTTTATTCTAACAAAAAGCCTCCAGAAGATTTTCGTGATCTAAACCGGAGCATGCCGTATGTGCTCCCCCTCCTATCATCGCTTGTGTGTTATTTATAGGTGATCTATTTAATTAACTGTTCCTAGAAAACCTTCCTCACGTTTGGGTTCATGTGCTTGCATTTTCCTATTGTCAAGGAACCACTCTCCAATACCTTGACAGTGTGATAATGACTGTCATACCATTATATTCCTGAGAATACATAGTCCTCCAGACAAGTTCAAAATATTACAATTTCTATATAAAATAAAATGATTAAATATTACATATCAGTTAACCACCTAGCATCAGACTCAGAAACATGCCTACCTTTAAACCTTGGTATAATTTCTACGAGGGTGCTAATTTCACCATTCTTTATTTAATATATTTTTTGTAGAACATGTAATTATACTCTTTGATTAATAAATTCAATTGTTATGAACATATATATGATTTATTTTTCTCTACTAGCATATAGGAAGTAATTTTTTTTAAAGTAAATATTATTTGAAGATCCACACCGTTGGTCACTTAATATTGTTCTAATTATGCTCTCATTCTTAGATTGCTTAATATTGTATCATTACATGGGTATTTTGTTTTTTCCTTTTTTCTTCTGAAAATCGACATGGTCCGAATCTTGTGTGTTTATCTTAGTTGTCTGTGTATCTTAACCTATGATGTTCTGCTCCTCTGCTTGACAGAAACGACAAAGGAATTTGTGGCAAGGCTGGAACTAAAGCCTGGTCAGAAAGTTCTGGATGTTGGTTGTGGTGTTGGGGGAGGTGATTTCTACATGGCTAGAAATTTTGATGTAGAGGTTGTTGCCATTGACCTCTCCATAAATATGATTTCCCTTGCCATTGAACGTGCTATTGGACTGAAATATGCTGTGGAATTTGATTGTGCGGATTGCTATAAAAAAACATATCCTGAGAATACATTTGATGTAATCTACACTCGTGATACCATGTTACATGTCAAAGTAAGGAGCTATCCTTTTTTTTTTCTTGTTTAACTGTTGATTTTAGTAGTGTTATGCATGTTATACCATGAAATATATTATATAACGTGTGATATATTGAGGAGAAACCAACATTATTCTGGATCAATGCAGGATAAACCAACATTATTCAGATCATTTTACAAGTGGTTGAAGCCTGGAGGAAAAATCCTTATTACAGATTACTGCAAAAGTGCTGGAAGTCCGTCTTCAGGATTTGCTGAGTACATTAAAAAAGGAGGATATTATCTCCATGACATGAAAGCGTATAGGCAGGTATTGTTGGCTGTGCTATCAGTGACATCATCTGGCTTCTCTTTCACCCATTTGCTTTCTCAACCGAAATCATGGGTTATCATTCTTCTGATTGACAATCCCCTTTTCTAAATCATCTTCAGATGCTCGAGGATGCTGGATTTGATGATCTCATTGCCGAAGATCGAACTGATCAGGTTTGTCTGACCTTAAGATATACTTTGCTTAGTATCCGCATTTTTTATTGTGGTTCTAGAGTACTAATAGCTTTATTACTTGTGCGGTTTAGTTTGTGAAAACACTACAGCAAGAGTTAGAGGCCCTTGAGAACAAAAAGGACGATTTTGTTCGCGACTTCAGTGAAGTGGGTTTTTCATTATGATATTGAGATTGTTTTGCGATACGTATTTGATGGCATTTGTTTCTTTGTTAAAAAAAATTGACGGTTGGATTTGTTGCTTTCAGGAAGACTACAACGAAATTGTCGAAAGATGGAAGGCAAAGCAGAGCAGGGGTGCATCTAGAGAGCAGATGTGGGGCTTGTTCATTGCCAAGAAAAAATGACATGCTTTATTGCCATCATTTGCCTTGTTCTACCTATGCCTAGTTCCTGTGTGACTCGACTTTTCCATATAATAATTGTTTGAATAATTATATCTGTCCGTTATTCTTGGTTTAAAATTCATAGCTTTCGAATTACGATGATGGCCAGCGAAGAGGATGATGCTCTTCAATTTGAATAATAATGCTAACTTCGCATTGCCATTGGTTCGAATATTTGGTGAATCTGCCATAACGATTATTCCCCTCGTTCGTACTTCTGAGACGAAATCGCTACGTCCATTTTATGTGGAGAAAATTACAGTTATGATCGTGTGGAAATTCATTTCGCCCTAATACTAGCGTTTCGTAACCAAAAGTAAGTTTAATGAGTTTTGGAAAAAAAAAAAAAGCGTGACAAAGAGCGAGTTAAGTAGTTTGATCAATGAAAGTCTAGAATTAGTTAAGAAAGTAGGAACTGGGAATGGCATCATTGACTTGGTCTTATAACTATTGAGTTGCTTCATTGGAATCCTTGTGAGGTTCGCGTGTCTGGTTTCTATTTATAGAAGGACCTATTGAATTTTTATTTTTATTTTTTTGGTATGACGCACATGTGAAAGATGTCGAATTTAGATGTATGAACTTCAAAGTGCTGTGCTCCTAAACACATAATGATAGAGTCCATGGCAATTGATATCAGCAAACCCAAGACAACCATTATAAAGCCCATTCCTTTTAAAGACTTTTCATTTTATTTCTATTCAGTTATTAATTTGTCACGCTGTCATATATGATTTTTTTTTAATATTTTCAGTATCAATTCTATTACAATTTTTCCTTTTTTTTTTTGGTTTTTTTTTTGTACTCAGCCTATAAAGGAAATTTGGAGGAATGAAAGAGGCAGAGAGGAAAAAAAACATTATTCTTCGTATATTTTGTTTAATTTTCGGGAGGTGTGTTGTCCTTGAATGCAAGGGTTACTGTTTTCATATCAATTTGTTGTTTTTATTGATTCTATCATAACTGACAAAACACGTTAAAAATCTCTTGATCGCCTTGAGAATATGTTAAGCTTCTTGCTCAATATCAATCTAGCTTAGCCTCTATCCAAACAAACCTTTCCACCAAAATTAATTCCATTATTGCCCAACCGGCTTCTCTTTCGCTGCCTTTCCCGCCACCTTCTCCTTCCTCTCTTCCCCTCAACGTCCCCATATGAAGCTTGACATACCGCGTTTTGATGGCACAAATGTAATGAGTTGGATATTCAAAATTTCACAATATTTTGACTATCTGAATACACCAGAATTGGAATGCCTCTCCGTAGCAACTTTCTATTTGGATGGACTAGTTCTTAGTTGGTACCAATGAATGTTCCAGAATGAACTCATCAATTCTTGGCCAGGGTTTTTACAAGCTTTGGAGACCCGTTTTGCACCTTCATATTATGATGATCCACGCTACGCTCTCTTTAAATTTTGTCAACATGTTAATGGTTATTTAACAGAATTTGAGAGTTTAGCCAATTGCATAATGGGACTACCACCTCCATTTTTCTTAAGCTGTTTTATATCGAGTTTATCTCCTGATCTTCGTCGTGAGGTACAGGTTCACCAACAGTTTTTCCTTCCTCAGGCGATTGCTCTTGCTTGACTACAGGAGGATAAATTGGAAGATCGCTGCCGTTCCTTCCGTACGTGGTTACCACCACCACTTCCTACCACAGTTTCTTTCATATTACCTTCTATTTTGCCTCCTTCAACCTCTGTGGCAGCCCGTACCTCAGTTCCTCCTTCTGTGCCAGCTCTTGCCAATACTCGATACAAACACTTATCTCAAGTTGAGATTGTTGTTCGTCATGAAAAAGGACTCCGTTACTATTGTGATGAAAAGTTCAACACAAACCATCGTTGTAAGGCTTGCTTTTTTCTATTGCTTGCTGAGGGTGATGATGCAGCGAGTGTTGACAATATTCCTCTTAACCCATTCCTAGTCTTTTAAAGGTGCCTGACACCGTTTATGAGGGCCAAATTAGTTTGAATGCATTATGTAACCATTCTTCTTATGATGCACTACATCTTGAGGATCATTTAGCCTAACATCTTTTTACTATTTTAATTGGTAGTGGAAGTATCCACAATTTTGTGCACAGGAACATGGCAAAGTTTCTGGATTTTCAAACACAGAATATTATTTATTTGCATGTGATGTGATGATTGGTAATAGTACCGTAACTAATTGTCCTTCTGTTTATCTTAATATTCTTTTACTTATTCAGGGGCAAACATTTATGATAAATCTTTATGTTTTATCAATAAGTGGGGCGGAGGTTCTGATCTTACTTGTCTTCGTACATTTTGACACATCAAGTGAAACTAATACTTCGTATCAAATCTGTCTCTCTTTGTTTTTAAATACAACTGTTCAACTTTTTTTTTAATTTACCTAGAAAAGAAAAAAAAAAAGATGGATCTACGCAAAATAAAAGCTCGTCAGTTCAAGAAATTTATATAAGTATGAGTTTATAATATTAATAAAAATTATACATATTTTTAATCATTAATGTTTAGTGTACATTTTTTTCTACAATAATAAATATTTTATTATATCAGGTTCTCTTAATGAGTGTCTTTTAAGAGATATGTCTAAATATAATTTTTTAAACAAATAAATAACAGCGGCATTCATGCGATTCTGATTTTCTTGGAGTGCAAGGCATCGTTTCTTCCTTCCTCTACGCAGTTCCGTGGGTGTAGAATGAAGGTGCTATTCCCGTCACCACTAACCTCCAGGAGGAGTAATGGTAATGGACTCTTTCTTCTTCTTTTTCTTTTTCATCACTGTTTCATACAACTCAAACCCACGAAAGCCATGAATTTCCATTTTGCCCCTCTCTCTCTTTCTCAATTCTGTTCCTCGGAAATTCACCTTCTCTCGTCGGCACTAATCACACCTCCGCTCGCTTCGCTCCTGATTAACACAACAAAACTTTCAACGCAGCTTTTTTCTCTTTCCATTTAATTCATGAATCATTTTTCTGTAAGAAAAGTGCACAATCTGTTTCCATGGAGCCTGCTGCACGGAAGCCTGGCTTTCTCAGAAACGTACTGCTGCGATTACTCCTCTTCGGTGTTTTAATCGTCATCGTACGGTTCGCTTACGTCATCACCCTCGCCGATGAGTCCTGCACCCTCGGCGACTTCTGCTTCTCCCCGTCGCCGAATCTCGCCATGGCGCGAACCAGGTCCCACGCTCTCGACGCCCTAGGTGGTGCCGCAACGGCACTGGAGCGCTACGCCAGCAAGGACTGGATCAACGGCGTTCGGTTCTATTCGTCCGTGTTCCAGGACCTCATCGCAGGTGGCTTCCTCTCGCCGACGGCGAAGTCGCTCTGTGTGGAGACTCCGACCGGCCGCGACGTCCTCGCGCTGCGGGTGATCGGCATAACGAACGCTGTCGGGATATCGAAGAAGGCGTCGCCACCGTTGGTGAAGTCCGGCGAGGCTCTACGGATTCCGTTCGCGAACGGCACGTTCGACTTCGTGTTCGCCGGAGACGGCGCGCTGGAGAGATCGCCGAATGCGGGGCAGTTCGCGGCGGAAATTGCTCGGACGCTCAAACCCGAAGGGTTTGCCGCGTTCCATGTAAAGGCTAATGACACTTACAGTTTTAATTCATTCGTTGATTTGTTCAAATTTTGTTGCAATGTGGTGAAAATAAACGACGTACTAGGGTTTGATTCATCGATGCCTCACATAAAAGAACTCATTGTGAAGAAAGAGCGTTATGGAATTGATTCCGATTCCTATTCCAATTCGAAAGGAAAATGCTCTGTTCCAGACTACATGAAAAAGTTGGTTAGAAATGCTGAGTCGTTAATTGAAGAGGAGCCACTGAAGCCATGGATCACCCTCAAGAGAAACGTGAAGAACATAAGGTACCTTACTTCAATGATTGATATAAGTTTTAAGGATAGGTATGTGTATGTTGATGTTGGAGCTAGAAGCTATGGTTCTAGTATTGGAAGTTGGTTTAGGAAACAGTACCCGAAACAGAACAAGACGTTTCATGTGTATGCAATTGAGGCTGATAAAACCTTTCATCAGGAGTATGGCTTGAAAAAAGGGGTTACTCTATTGCCTTATGCTGCTTGGGTTAGGAATGAGAGTTTGGTGTTTGAGATTAACCGTGGCCCTGGAGAGAAAGTTCAGGGTAAGGGCAGGGGAATGGGCAGGATTCAGCCATTGCAGTCTTCAGGTGGTTTTGATGGTGGTGAGGTTGAAAAGATTAATGGGTTTGATTTTGCTGTCTGGTTGAAGAACACGGTTTCGAAGAATGATTTTGTTGTGGTGAAGATGGATGTGGAGGGTACTGAATTTTATTTGATTCCCAGGTTGTTTGAAACTGGGGCTATATGTTTGGTGGATGAGATTTTTCTCGAGTGCCATTACAATAGGTGGCAGCGGTGTTGCCCTGGACAGAGGAGTCCCAAGTATGAGAAAACTTATGATCAGTGCTTGCAGCTCTTCACTTCTCTCAGACAAAGTGGAGTCCTTGTTCATCAATGGTTTTAACCTGTAGAATTGCCTGATGGGTCAAACCCAATAATATATATACACATTTTGTAGTATTCTTATTCATACTATTCTTTTTCCCTGGACAATAGACAAGAGAGTCAGAGTCTTTTGTTTTTCAAATTTCATTACTTGTAAAGGTTGCAACTGAATGAAAATCATTCCTTTACAACAACAATTGAAGTTGCTACACGTGTCTTCTTTTATCTGTGTACATATAGCGAATAATACTTTAAAGTTTAATCTATTATTTTGATGGTACCTTTTGTCAGATTATTATTAAATAATTCTAGTGGACTGGGTAATAAAATAGTCGGGGAATTTAGTTAAAAGGTTCTTTGAATGAAATGGTATTGAATTTCCGTGGCTCTAACAGGACTACTGGACCATAGAGGTTTAAGACCAGAAATCATTACCCCAGGTGATGACTGTTCTGAAATGTTTTTCAGGGCGCATATATATGTATGTATGTAGATTACTCACAAAACGCCAATTTGTATGAATTTGATGTTAAGTTGCATCACATGGGATGGAATTTGATTGTTTTGTGTGGAAATGGTATGAATGATTGTGACATTCAGAAATCATACTGGATTTAACATTCAGCGGATTTATCGTTGAAGCAACGATGCTTTATTCCAAAGCCGCTCATCTCGACATGGAAGATACCCGAGGTCCTCCCTCTCTCTCTCTCTTATAGCTTTCAGTATAGTTTCACTTATTTTGTAACATTATACGCACTGCAAAATATTCAATTACGCTCTCGTTCAACTTGATCACTCATAGATATTAATCTGTTCGTTCTCTAACAATAACAATTTATCTAGTGTTCTCGTGATTATTCTAGTATCTGTGGTGTGTCTTTTAGGCTTGTCTAGAAGATTGTCCACATTTGACTGTAATTTATATCTTTTCATGAAAAGTGATCACTGCTTTGCCACATCTTCGCTCTAGATCCATCTTTTTTACGTGCTGATATGTCTTTTTGGAGTTCAACATGCTTCTGAAGTAAATTCTCTGTTCTTCCTGTTAAACAGTGTACAGGAAAACTTATCTTGGTGACAAGTAGTGTTATGTAGTTTGACGAGAGAAAATCTTGAATTAGTTCCAATGGTAGGAACTGGGGAGGGCGTTAGTGACTTGGTTTTAGAACAACTTAAGTTTGCTTGATTGGGGGAAATCCTTATGAGGTTCGTATATCGTGTTTCTATTTATAAATGCACCAATTGGATTTCTTTTTTGCATCTAGCTCATGTGAAAGATGCAGAAGTTAAATATAATAGTTTCAAAGTGATGCGTGTCAACCTATTTGATGTGTTTAACTAGGACTCTTTAATGGAGTATAGTTTGAAGTTCTCTTTGCCCCTTGTTTTCCAAAAGAATAGTAGAGACAATGAAGTGATGATTATGAATGGATAGTTTTAGATTTG